ATTGAAATTGACAATGTCTTAGATGTGGCATATCAAAATGATGTTGCAATTGTTCATCAACAAGTTGATATTGAATTGGAAACCACACTACAACATCCTCAACACATATTAAAAGAAGTATTTGATGATGAGATACTGAATGTTGAGAAAGAAATATCGGAGAATGAGGAAAATGAATCATTTGATGATGAAGAATGGGACGATAATGAAAATGAAACAACTGAAGAAGAAGAATGGGAGAATGATGGAATTGAAACAAGCGAGGAGGAATAGTAGTAGAATGAAAGCTAGTATATGTAAGTTAATTTATTTTGCTAATTTTATTTAATTTATGATTTTTATATATTATACATGTAAATTTGCATACAAATGTTATCAAGTGGTGACGGTGATAAACATCGCAAACATCTTGGAGTTGGCCAGACTAATAAGGCTAAAAAGAAGAAGTCAGCTAGGAGACTCATAGATCCTGAGGATATTCCAGGATCTATTTCTTCTGCGCCAGAGCGCATCAGTCATGATACTCATTTATTTGTTGTTCCGTTTGGTACGGCAGATCCTCGACAATATTGTCCTAATTATCATCGACCAGCCGGTGTTTCCTCTATTCATAGGCATTGCCTCCACGTCGCTACGAGGACCTACCTTTATAGGCTATTCGTCGACCACGACCCTTATCGGCAGGTGGATATCGGATGGTACTCCATCTCCCATAGGTACATCTCCTCAGTTATCTGTCATGAGGATTGGAGATTCTAGTAGCAAGCAGTCGGATGCTATGGCCGGTACGCCTCCATTGACTCAACGTTTTGTGCATCCTAGTGTATCACCTTCATCTACAGCTGCACCTAGTGCTACACCATATGCTGCGATGCCTGCTCTAGCTCCTGGCCAGAAGGACGGACTTGGTAGAGTCATGATTGAGCCGGATGGATCATCGTAAGTTTGTTTTGTTATCTATTTGTTCTTTTATTTTATTTATTTCTTATACTTTAATATATTATTCATGAACTAACATATTTATTATGTGTTTTGCAGGTGGCATCCTGCAAAGGATGCTGCCCGGGCTTTAAAAGACTGTGTTAGAAGACTTTACACACAGGCTTATCACTCTTGGAACGAGATTCCAAACAGTATACGCCAGGCGATGTTTAATGAATTTAAGGTATATATTTTTAGTTAAATTTAATAATTTTAGTATACTTTACTTTTTACTATCGATCTAATTAACGCTATTCAATTTTTTTCAGACTATGTGTACTTGGGAGTTGAGGTACAATTTGGTCATTGCGACCACATTTGAGAGGAGGGCATCCGTGAGACTGTCTAGCTGTCTAAAGAAAGTTTGGGATACTGATCAACGTTCGGGTTGGATGTTGCCTCATGTTTTGATGATTTGCGTGCATATTAGAACACAGAAAAGTTTAAGGCAATTTCCGAACAAGCCAAAAAGGCTAAAGGCAGTCTTAAGGGTGGATCGTTGCACACTGAAGGTGCAAAGACAGTTGGAACAATTACAAGAGAGATGGTAAGTTCTAATTCAAACTTTTAAATAAATAATTAGTTTATTCATATATATCGTTATAAATTTCAATTTTTATTTATAGGAAAAAGAATTGGGGCGCACTCCCATTGAACCAAAGGTTTTCAAGAAGACTCGTGTGAAGAAGAAAAAAAATGAGTCGGATCCGGATGTGTGGGTCGAGGAAAGGGTCGAACGAACTTTTGTATGTTATTTAATATGAATAATATATATTAATAGTGAATATATTTATGATATGTATATATATATTGAGGTTAATTTTTATATTTAATATGCAGAATGAGTTTCATCAGTACGTCGCTAAGAATTTGGATAGTTCGTTCCAAATGACACATGAACTGTCCACCCAAATTTGGACAGAGAAAGTGGTAGGGAGGGACACACAAGGGTAGAGTCTATGGTCGAGGCTCTCGAAACGATGTAAGAAGACTCCAGTCAGGCTTAGAAGGTATTGGATCGTCACGCAAGCCGAGGCACTTGACGGTGTTCAGATTGCTACTATGTCGGCTCAAATAGCACAGCTTACATCGGCACTGGCAGAGTCGGAGCAGAGAAGAGTAGCTGAACAACAAAGCATGAGTGCGATCGTTCAGCAAATCAAAGAACAAGTGCTGAACCTCGCTCGTCGACCTACTACTTCGGCTCCCGAGGACACCGACGACGATAGTGATGAGGAGGATGATTTTGTAGATGTCACTCCCTAGTTTAGATCTCTTTTGAAACACATTTTGAAACACATTGTGAAATACTTTATAAGTTTTTGTATTGTGATTTGTTTAGTTTTGAAGATTGATTTAAGTTTGATGTTGTATATGTTGTGTGTTTACATTATATTATTTGTTGGGCTAGTTGAATATGAATTGAATTGAATTGATTGATTTATATTTGCAGGTGGCAGCAGAAACTAGCGTCAAAAAATTGCAGAAAAAAACGACGGACAGGGTGGTTTTGTCCGTTGCTTTTTTGCATTATTTTTTTCAAATAAACCCAGAAAAGCGACCGACAGGGTCCTTTAGTCCGTCGCTTTTCTTGGTATTTTAAAAAATTAAATTCCAGAAAAGCGACGGACAGTGTCCTTTAGTTCGTCACTTTTCTGGGATTTTTAAAATATTAATTTCTAGAAATGCGACGGACTGCGTCACTTATTGGAAATAAAAAATAAATGAAAATATAAAAGAAGCGACGCAGTCAGTCGCTTTTGTTAAAAAAAATTCCTGAAAAAAATAATCAAAAAGCGACGGACAAGCGTCTAGCCAAAAAGTGACGAATATGACTACGTCGCTTTTCGTTGATTTTGACCAAAAATGCGATGCAGTCCATCGTTTTTTGGCAGTTTTTTAGTAGTGTAAGGATGAGTGACTTTTTCCAGTATTCCCGAAAAAATGAATTAAATTTCTTTTCATAAGACAAGAAATCCTCCTAAGGAAAGCAGAAGTCTATGCACGCTAATCGATAGATCGTAGGTTCAAATCCTACTTGGAAAAAAAATTAATTATCGATTTTCTGACTTAGGGCTTGCCTCCGATGGTGTCCTTCCCCTTTTTCTCTAAGCTAACATAATCATGGGAAATCAAAACAGCTAATTGATTGTTGCTTTTTATTCCTCACTCTAGTATAGATTAACTTGGTTCGTTCAATTCTTGCAGAAGGATCCCCCGGAAAAAACCATTGCTGCTAATTTTAAGTTGTGGATCAGATTGTTCTTATCATGGTTCTTAAGTTTTCTGGAAGAATAAGATTCTACATTCTCATGTTACATCAAGACACTTCTAGACCAATTTCTGAAGTATCACAATATACTATGAACCCATCAGTTCCTTCTTGTAGGATCAATACTTGGGCAAAAGTCAATTTGGTTTTCAACTCTTCATAACTTTTCTCATATGCATTCGACCATTGAAAATTGATCTTCTTCTAGGTTAGTTTGGTCAATGAAGCAAAAACATAGGGAAAACCTAGTACAAATCTTCTATATTACCCAACCAAATCAAGAAACTCTCAATCTCCGTCAGCGTCGTGGGTCTCAACTAATTCTTTACTACCTCGATCATTGGGAATCTACCTTGATACCCTCACTGAAAATGGCATTGCCTAGGAATGACACGTAATTCAGCCAAAATTTACTCTTAAAAAACTTAACATAAAGCTTGTGATCCTGAAGTGTCTATAAAACTAATATGAGATGATTTGTTTTCTAACCCTCACTCTTTAAATATACCAAGATATCGTTAATAAATATGATTGTGAATAAATTAGAGGCTTGAAAGGCTCATTGTAGCTAAACGAATACAATACCAAGAAATTGTAGTGGAAACAGATCCAAACCATTGGCAATTATTATAACACACCCAACTTAAAACACCAAATTTAGTATATCTTCGATATTTTATAGTGTATTATATTTATTTATTTATACTACGTTATATTATATTACAAGCACACACCATTTCACATTGAAGGGTTGTGACATTTCGAAAGAGTTATAACTTTTCGATGAGTTGTGACCTTTTTGAAGGGTTGTAATTTTTCTACAAGGTTGAGACTTTTTCAAAAAACTGTGACTTTTCCGAAGGGTTGTGACTTTTACAAAGAGTTATGACTTTTCCGATGAGTTGTGTCCTTTTTGAAGGGTTGTGACTTTTATAAAGGGTTGTGACTTTTTTTTTACAAGGCACAATAAGCATTTTTTTTATACACTACCTTTTGTTGGCTATAAAAAGAGGGGATTCCTCAAATTTTAAAACTACAATTTTTTAAAAATTTCATTGTTCTTCTTCTTAAAACACCCAATTTAGCATATCTTCTATATTTTATATTATATTTTATTTATTTATATTATATTATAATATATTATATTAAAAGAAGACATCATTTCACATTGAATGGTTACAACTTTTTCAAATAGTTGTGGCTTTACCAATGAATTGTGACATTTCCGAAGGGTTGTGAATTTTATGATAAGAAACACTATGCACATGCTCATACTATCCTTTGTTAACCATAAATGGAGGGGCTTCCTTACATTTTTAAACTACAATTTTTATATGTTTTTTTGTTATTCTCTTCTTAAAATTTCAAGTCTAATTTATAGATATTGATAATCTCAAAGTTCAGTAAAATTTGAACACTTCCTAACATAAATGTTAAGTAATGCACTATGGGGGAGGGAGGAGAAAGTATATTTTAGAGGTATAACTAAGAGATTTTAAGAGTGACTAACTTTTAGTAATAATCATAAGAAAGTTTACATCCACTATTCATAGGAACTTATACAGTTATACTTAATCATTCATTTTATAACTTTCTACTTAATTTTAAAAAATAATAATATTCACATTATTTCTAAAAATAGTGTAGTACATGATTTGATATTCACGTGCAGCGCACGTGCATCAAAACTAGTATATATTATGTTTATCAACAGAGAGGCAAATATGAGATTATACTGGATATGTTGTTATTGTTGTAGGGGGGAAAATCTGATCCATTCCCCTAAATCTGAGCAAAACTAGCAGGTGTCTCGAATATGCAGCTTATCCAGCAGCCAATCAACATGAATTTGTCAAGTCTCTTCCTATTCAAAAACCACTAAACAGTGGTACCAATTAGAAACATACAGAAACCTCCACTGATAAACCTTTACAATTGAATAGCTACGTCTTTGGCGCTAATACAAAATGGACCTCTGAAAAAGGAAAAGCACCTAAAAAGAGATGAATAACATTCCTGTTGTACAATTGAATCAGCAAGCAATGGTTAATGCAAGCATTTCAAGTATACGGTTTCCCGCTAGCAGAGTGAAATGATCAAAGTTCAAGCTTCGAGTTTCCAAGTTGGCTAAACATAATAGCCATGTCCATACCCTGTACCATCGTTGGAACAGCTACATCATAGGGGCAATCTCTAGTAAACCCGACCTTCCCAGACTTCTGCACTTTCTTTATGCATCTCTTGAACTTCTCATGACATTTAACATTGGTCATACCTGAAAGTATGAAGCAGTTGAATTAAACACTTAACTATGAAGTCTGATAACTATGAAGTCTGACAAACAAACAAACCATATTCTGTTGCAAGTTCTTCCTCTCTTTAACAGGTGTAATTACCAAAATTAGGATGAAAAAAACTGCTAACAAAATGGTCAATTCTGGAATAATGTGGGACAGGAAAGTAGGCATCATCTGGAAGCTTATAGCTTCACATGGAAATTCATGCCAGCAAAAGAAGCTGCCGTTTAACAAGTTCCCCTTTGAGTTCACTGCTCTTTCTTTGTCAAACATTTCTCAGTGTTTCCTCATCAGCAGGATTTTAACAAAAAAAAAATGGCCGAGAATCGCTTTATGATCAGTTTAACCAACAAAATCACCTCTCCAGAAAAATTTAGAAACTGATCAAAGCATGCCTGCTTTTATACCAACTCACCAAGAACCAAGGCCCCTCCCCATCCCTGTAGAGTGTAGTGATATGGGGCACCAGAAAGACAAAAACTAAAAAATTTCATAAACTGAAAGGCATGATTCTTTCTTGACTGTAGTACCATAGGCTGCTGAAAGGGAAGTCATCTACCCCAACTTTATGCATAAGAGTGGTGCCCCATTTTAGATGTACAAAGTTAAACCAAGAATGCATTTTATGTCTCAATTGAAATGGCAGTGTAAGAATGACCAAGTACTCTGCATTATTTGAGAAAAATCTCACGTGTAAGCCAATGATGAGAATCACAAGAACCTAATGTATCAGAAATAGGGGTGGGTATAGTTTGGGCAGATCCGAAGTCCGAATATTTTGAATTTTTGGTTTGGATTTTCAAATTATGGATTGGATAGCTTCGGATTTTTGAAATATTCGAAAATCCAAAATATTTAATAGTCTGTTAAAATATTTTTTATTTAGACATGATTTTTTACTATGTTTAGACTAGTCAATCTCAGACCTCAATGCTTGGCATGGGGAATTATCAATGACAGTTTGACATGAATACTGTACTTGGATGTTCATTTTTGTAGGAAGAAGAACCAACTCAACTTGTAGACTCAAAACTGAAAATCCAAATTAACCAAACCGATTAATCCGAAGAAGAAGATAGAAACTGATCCAATCCGAACTTCGAAAAAACTGATCCAATCCAAACTTATTTAGATTGTAATTTCTTGAATTTGAAGACCCAAAATCCAATCTGAACACCCACCCCTAATAAGAAAGGTTATCTGATGCACAATAATCTAAAAACTCAAATGGAAGTCTAGAAGTGATCTGAACATTAATGTTTTTACTCTTTTAGGGAAAATGATCTGATATACCCCTCAATTTTGCTATTTAGAGTTGATATACCCCTCGTTACAAATGTGGCTCGCATATATATATCCTACCATTACAAAAATCACCCACATATATCCCTCTATTGTTACCAAAGTGACTCACATATACCCTTTACATATAACAGAAATGAAAAAAATTGATTTTAAATTTATTATTTTGATTTTTAATTGTTTTAAAAATCATATAGGGGTATATATTATCCTTCTCACACATGATATTTTTGTTTTACTTCTTTGATTATCATTATTTGAGTTTCTTATTCTTATCTCAATTTTTTTTTCATTCTTTTGTGTAAATATATGAGAAATAAAATGAGAGAAGTGTGAATGGAGAAAGAGAAAAAAGTATGAAAAAATTTAAAACTTTTTTTGCGGCTATATTGTAATTTTTTTTGTATCTGTAAAAGAAAAAAAAAAAGTTGGGCATCTATGATAAATTTTATAAGGTAGTTGGTGAAAAAATAAATTTGATCATTGAAATAACAAATTCAAATTAGCCATTGAATCTTAAAAGTCAAAAAAAAAAAAATACATGTGAGAAGGATCAATTATACCTATATGGATATATTTTTGATAAAAAACTTTAAAAATAAATTTAAAATTATCTTCTTCACTTCCGTTAGAGGAAAAAGATAAAAGATATTTGAGTCATTTGTGTAACAATAGGGATATATGAGCTACTTTTATAACGAGAGGTATATCAGATTATCAGTTTTAAATGACATAATTGAGGGGTATATTAGGTTTTTTGCCTTTTCTTTTATAACCTAAGAAGCCACATACTTTAGCTGTAACACCTCGAAAGTGCCTAACTCCGATAAACTAGGAAAGTGCAGAAATCTACGGAAGTGTGTAGAATTTTGGAGTTTACAAGCATAGTCTACGGGTCGTAGAATGGCATATGGCTAGTGGGAACCATCCGTGAATTGGACTTCAAAAATCAGGTTAAGGGTCTCATTGGTTACGAGTGACTTTACAGATCATACTAAGTTCTACGGGTCGTAGACACCCCGCGTAAAGAATTTTTTGAAAGTTGGAAAGTTGACTTGAACAGGACGAGTGATATTTACAAGTAGTGGTTTGTTTCACGAGTCGTGGAAAGGCTCTCATAGTTCCAAGCCCTGAAACTTTAGGACCATCGGTGCATTAGGTTGACGACCCATCAGTACGACTCATAAAAGGAACCACGAGTTGTAATTAGGTTTGTGGTTCATTCTTCTGAGACTTGGTAATTCCAGTAGTTGGGATTCTACGGTTGGATAGTACGGATCGTATAAGGAATTACGATCCGTAATATGGTCTCGTGGTTGGAAGTTCATAAATCAGGTGGTTTCTGTAGATAGGCTTCTACAGGTCGTAGAAGGAACTACGGTCTATAGATGCCCTCGTAGTACCTATTCGGCAATTTTTAATAAGAGACTTTTTAGTCTTTTCCTACTCTTTTAATTCCTATGCTATGTCGTTTTGGCTTATTCTAAGTGGGTGTAACTGATTCCTAAGACCCTCCCCATTCACTCTCATTCTCCCAAAATCCAATTTTCCCTTTCTCAAGTCTTCTCCCTAAAGCAATCTAGGGCTCCAAGATTTCGAGTCTCCATTGAAGGATTAAAGCTAGGGTTTCAATCAAGGTATGTGGGAACTTTATTAATGGGTAGTCCCAAAGAAACCTCAATTTCTCAATTATAAATCTCCCAAATTCTAGGGTTTCATGATTTCTTATGGGTTCTTGTTGAATTTCGATTTCTTCTTAATGATTGATCCTATTATGCAGGAATTGATTCTAATTCAATGTTTTCAATGATGTTTTGATGAACTCATAGCATGCAAGTATTTTCATGTTCGAGGATTATGAAATTAATCTGCTGCCAAATAATCCCACCGTGGCCCATATCAAGAGTCACAAGGAAAAGAAAACCATTAAGTCGAAGGCAAAAGCAACTTTGTTTGCTGCTGTTTCGACAACTGTTTTCATGAAAATCATGACTCTCACAGCACCAAAAGATATTTGAAATTATCTGAAGAAAGAATATGCTGGAGATGAAAGAATACGAGGAATGAAGGTATTAAATTTAATGAGGAAATTCGAATTGCAGAGAATGAAAGAGTCAGAAACAGTCAAGGAATATTCTGACAGATTGCTTGGTATTGTCAACAAGGTAAGATCACTAGGCACTGAATTTAAAGATACAAGAATTGTTGAAAAAGTTCTTGTTACAGTGCCCGAAAGATATGAAGCATGTATAACTACCTTGGAAAACACACAAGATCTGTCCAAAATTACCTTGGCAGAATTGTTAAATTCTTTGCATGCTCAGGAACAAAGGAGACTTATGAGGCAAGATGGCATGGTTGAAGGAGCATTAGTAGCCAGCCACAAAACTCAAAGCAAGGGTAAATTTTTGAAAAATTACCCACCTTGTAGTGGAAAAAATGGACATCCTCCATATAAATGTTGGAAAAGACCAAATGCACAGTGCAAGAACTGCAAACAACTTGGTCATGAAGCTGTGATTTGCAAAAGCAAATTTCAAAAAGATGAAACAGTTGCCCAAGTCACTACTGAAGAAGAAGAGGAAGACCACTTATTTGTGGCAACTTGTGTTTCAACCAAAAAATCTGATTTTTGGATGATTGATAGTGGTTGTACAAACCACATGACATATGAAAGAAATCTTTTTAAAGAGGTCATTCCTATGGAAAATAAGAAAGTCAGAATTGGGAATGGTGATTGTATTCCTGCAAAAGGAAAAGGGTTTGTTTCAATTAAAACAAATTCAGATACAAAAATAATTTCAGAGGTTCTTTATGTGCGTGATATTGATAAAAGTTTGTTTAGTGTTGGTCAGTTAATAGAAAAAGGATTTAAATTATTATTTGGAGACAACTATTGTCGAATTTTTTATTCTACTAAGCAAGAGATTTTACAAGTTGAAATGAGAGGTAAGAGCTTCTCATTTAATCCAACAGAAGATGCACACAAGCCTTGCAAGACAAAGGATGAATTAGCAGATTTGTTCACAAGGTCAATTTCAGATGAGACTACAATCTGCAATTCCTGATCCAAGAAGGAGTGTTGAGAATATGTCTCAGGATATTGCAGAAATAAAACAGTTAGCTATTTTTAGGATTTTTAAATTATGTTATTAGAGTCCTATTTAACTTATATTTAGGAGTTAGTTCTTTTTATTTGTTATTTGAATTAAGTTGATAAGTTAGTATCTTATTTTTCTATTTTTAGTTAGGAATTATATCTATAAATGCAAGTCTCTGAATTATTAATAAAATAATTCCCTTTGATAATATTGCAGTATTTTTTCTCTCAAAGTCTTTCTCTGTTATTTTTTTTATTTCTTTATTAAAAACCCAACAATAATTATGCTATTTTTCACATGCATGTCTCATGTTATCATAATTTCCATGAAGTATGATGCTTCTAATTGAAGTATCTCTCAGTATATATGATTGTCATAATTTAGATGTTTTAAAATATTGTATCATTCAGATTAGGCCTAACCCATCGGTGACCCCTTAAAGTTGGCATGAAGTTTCACTTAGACACCTTAACTGGACGATATTCATTTTAAACACCTCATATAGGGTTTCGTTGTGTCATTTTGACACTTTTTTTTTAATCAGCAAAAATATAGTGGGTGGGTGTGTTATACTCGCGGTTGATGTGTAAAGTGTCAAATTAAATTTGGACATTTGTCATTTGTGTTCAAAATAATTCTTAAACAATGAATTTTAAATTTAAGAAAAAAATAGCCAATGAATGAATGACATGTAGCATTTTACCTAAACAATTTAACTATTTTAAAATCTATTTTGCAACGCTCCATCCCCTCCCTTGCACCCCGCATCCCCCTGCACACACACACACCCCGCAACCCATCTTCTCCAGCATTCTTTTGCAGAAAACAATCCCGACCCCCACGGTTTTTCTTATCCAAAGTTGCTTTGTTTTATCCCCCAACAATCAAAGTCTTGTGCAATATGAGTTCTCTAGTACTAAAGATTAATTTCTTGAAACTTTTCTAGACCTTTCAATAATCAGATCAGCTACTAAAAGAAAGGACAAAGGCGATGTGATGTGCTTTCCTCCATTAACACCTATCTCTTTTTAAATGCTTCAAATTCTAAAAAAATCAGAGGTAAGATATATGTTATTTTTTGTCAAACTAAATCGAGGAAGAAGGGAAACAAAATAAGAAAATGTGTTCAAACTTGAGGAAATCTATGCTGCTAGAATTCATTGAAGTTTGGGAAGATGTTGTCTGATAATGGGGAAGAAGATGAAGAAAATAAAATTAAAAATAGTTTAATAAGTCTCTCACGCGCATATAATGAGTGTATCACACTCATTGTGCCATGAAAGAAAAAGTGTCAAAATGACACAGTGGAATCCAGTAAAGGTGTCTAAGTGAAACTTCGTGCCAACTTTAGGAGGCCACCGATGGGTTAGGCCTTCAGATTATGTTCAGTTATCATGATTTAGGAGCTACTCAAATTATCATATTTTTCATGAATGATTTAGTATTTTCAGATCATTATTGTTTTCAGATTTATACATGTCTCCGTTGGGAGTATACTTGGCACCGAGTGAACTTTTGGGATGAAGGTTTCCGTTTAGCATCCATGGACCTTTAGTAGCAATTTCTAAGCCCCAAAACTATGTGCCACCATAGGATTTGTCTCATATAGACATTAGCTAATGGATCCACCTTAGCTCAGATTTCATGGTCCTTACCTTGGCAAGTAAAACACTCTTTTTTTTATGTGAGAGCAGAATGAACTCCATGTTGTAGCTCACATGGTTTATATCGACTATTATATACATCCCACAAATTTCAGATATTGCATGATCTTGTATTATGTTTTCCCATTCAGTCATCTGTTTTCATGTTATGTTTACTTGGTCATTGCATTAGCATGTTCTACAGACTTATCATGTTTATGCATTTTACTCATGCTCAATACATTTCGAGTATTCACCGTATACTTTTTTGCCTATATTGTTTCATAATATAGGTTCTGACGAACCTCATCAGGCCCACGATTAGTCCTGCCCCTATCAACCAGTTAGGAGAGCAGGTGAGTCCTCATCTCCTCGAGGACACCACTTATAATTTTCTTCTTGTCCTTACCATTAGTTTTCAGATAGCATATAGTTAGCTAGGGACTTGTCCTAGCAACTCATTATGATTAGAGGCTTTTCGGACAGTGGTTGTTTCCTCATATGTTGCCTTGGTATCAAATCTCTCCTGTATGATATGATAGCTCTTTGAGACTTTAGTCTGTTTTCATTTTATTCAGTTATGTATGTTATCTTAGTGTCATCTCATGCCATGTGGTTAGCTTGGGGTCACTTGTGGCTCTAGGCACCATGTCACATCTAGGGGATAGTCTTGGGTCCTGACATAAGCATTGGTGAAACTTCGTGCAACAAGAAACTAAAATGTATCATTGATATGTTACCTAGGCCCTTAAAAATTACATAGAGGAGATATTCCAGAAGTACCATGCTCATGAATTTTGGGATCTTTGTCCAGGTTTTCATCATTAACATATGGAAAACCTATTTGGGAGAAAGAAACTTAACTACAACATATTATCAAGTGATTAGGAGTGGCAGGTTTATTTTACATAACATTGTCATTAGCACATTCTTTAGTATTCCTTGAGCTAATCCCTTTTTGCTTTAAAATATTTACTTCGTAATATGAATTATGATGGCCAATCATAGTTTAGTAGACAAGATTATTACTTTAGGGACAGAAGCTACTAATAGAAACTATTGCATCTGGCACCGAAGGAAGGCATTATAATCATATAGGATATTCAAGCACAAAAAGGTCGCTGAAATAATCTATTTGCTTAAGACTTACAATATTTCACTGGCTTCTTCAGAAATTTTGTGGGCTAAAGTCAAAAGCCCTGACTGACCCTCAAGTATCAGATAATTTTCAAAAGTAATCAGAAAGGCATAATTCTGCGGGAAAGCTCAGTCAAGGTCGCTGAAAAATAACTGGTAAAGCCAGAAAAAGAGGAGAAAGTTCCATAATTCAATTTTTGTTAGATAAGATGGAGAAATCCTCTTTAGAAAAGATGCAATAGTTTCCAACTCCCCTGAAAAAGGGTTCTGAGAATAACAGGTTAATGCAGGTGATAGTGGACCTCTAGAGCATCACAAAGGGCACTGGGATTGGCTCGAAAACTGCAGATGAGAATATATTCTCTTTTGGCACTGGTGATTCCATAGCAAGAAATTTCTCATAAGAACTCTTATACCATGTGAGAAATAAAATAACATATTTGAAAGATGTGTCAAGTGTAGTATGTAAACGCTCTTCCTCAGGCAATGATCTCAAAAGAGGACAAGGAAAGAAGAAAAAAGAAAACAGCATTCAACAGTAGTGTTTCCTTGTTTGTTTTCTTTGTATTTCAATTTTCTTACACAATCAGATTGTCTTGAGATTCCTTGTCTGATTTGAAATAGCTTAACTGCATGCTAAGTGGTCAGAATCTAGTAGTGATGTGATAGATAAATGGCCATTAGAAATTACTCCATTTTCACCTTAAAGGTAATATTGTTTTGGAGCAACTGTGCAAAAATACACAAACAATATCAGGATTTTCTGAAGGTATATCCACATTCTCAATTGGGCAGTTATTTGAATGGTGCATATATAGCTCTTTGGGCAACAAAATACAGGACTTGAAACCGATTCATTCCGCATCATATTAGTATGCTCAGATCGAAATTCAGGCTGATGCAGCCAGACATTTGACCGTCACATCAAAGATTGAAGGGCTAACACCAAGTAAGCCTCTATATCCTCCCAGTACATAATAGGCCTATCATATTTTTAAGCTACAGAGAAATAGATGCTGACAGTTTCTTGTCTTGGACAAGTAACTAAGGTGCATTTCATGCAGTACTTGACTTTTGAATCAACTGTTAATCCTTCTAATTGTATTGTCTTATTCAATTCCAAGTCCACATATTTTGAACTAAGACTTTAGAGTTCAGATTTTTAGAAACTCACAGACTACTAGGTTCATATGCATTTTGAAGACGTCAACGTCAAGATAAGATACTTTTCTTTACTATCTACTAGTAATGAGTCCAAAATGACTTCTTCTATGTCTATCAAAAAATGTATATCTTATGAGTCACATAACGTTAGTTTGAAAATACCACATTAGTACTCTGCATATATGCTATTTTGCTATTCTTGAATTTATGGATTATCGCTTTAGCTATTCATTTGTATTCGTTTTAACTACAATATGCCAATCAGATAAAATTTACATAGTTCAAGTATGACAACTGATTTTATACTAAGGTACAAATATACAACCAAAGTTTGTATGTCAAGATGTGGCAATACTGCTACCAACTAATTTTCAATAATATAAGGTTTCACTCTCACAAGAGAGACAAGCTGTACTCAAGCTCAAACCAGTAATCAAAACTCCAAGAAGAAGTAAATGGAATAAATTTGAACAAGAATTAAAAGGAATAGTACCATTTTTCTCTACACATTCGTCATGAATCTTACAGCAGGCGTCTAGATCATCACAAGGTTTCTCCCCTGGACAACCACTCCACCCTACTCCGCAATATTTCCCGTATCTAATTCCAATTGCTGAAAAGAAGAAGTAAATTAAGTATGCATTGTGTAAGAAGGAATTTAAAAGGGGGAAAGAGAAGACATACAATTACAGTTCTCTGCTACACATGTTTTGCTACATCGAACCTGACATTTATATAAAAAATATGGATTGGTGAATGCAAAAAGGAAAATGCATTGAAGTAGAAGAATGGAAAAGGAAAAAAGTAAGAATTGCCTGAGAATTGTTGGTGGATTCCGCAATGGAGAAGAAGAGGAATATGGTTAGGATGAATGATGAGGCGACCCATTTCCCCATGGGAGATTTGTCGCCTTGCAGCATTCTGATCGAATCGTTACAGGCTGTCTTCTCAGTTCGTTTGTTTTCTCAGTTCGTTTGTTTTCTCAGTTCTCTCCTTGGGGAAAAAGCGCAGAGCTATTCAGAGAACCTATTATTGACTTAGCAGCCCTCTCTCATTGGTCCATCCATATCTCGTCTTGGAAACAATGTTTTTAGCATTTTTTCAAAATATGAAAAATCATTTTGGCTACAAAATTTGGCCTGAATTTGGTTATAAAATAACATATTTCACACTATGTTATTTTACCTTTTTGAATATTTTTAAACTTTTAACTTTAATGTCTTTTAATTAAAAAATGGAAGAAAGATCAGTTTATTTTAAAATAAAAAAGATATTATAGACTTTTTAAATTTCTGATCAAATTTTCTGGCCATTTAACATTACTCTTCAAAATATATTTATTTGCTAATCAAATTTTTAGCATATTTGGCTTTTTTGAAGCCCCAAAATATATAGACTCACATCAGCTTTTAGATATTTGGCATTTTCACTTCAAATCTTTTTCAATTAAAATGCATGTCCAAATTTTCCAAAGTTTCAATTTCAAAATTTGTGTCCAAATGGATGACTCAAAATTCTATGATTCTGGTGTTAGAGAGACATAATTAAGTGACTTTGATTTATTTTTTAAAAAAGTAATTATTATATAACTATTTTTTTAAATTTACATCAATATATATGTCTGAAAAAACGTGACAAAAATCCTAACTATTGATCAAGCAAGTGCACGCACCGACACACACGCACCCCCCCCACACACACACACTATTTTAGAAATGGCAGTTAGGTGGGACGAACACAGCAACATAAAATTGTACGGAAAGCTACTTAAATTATACTGAAAAGTTTGAATCAACTTAAGGATAAATTGGTACTTTTTCGTCTCCACAGACACACATACACACTACCCTATATTAGAAATGGCATTTAGGTGGGATGTACTGTCACAACCCAGGGGTACCCCTAGATATGACAAGGCGTACTTGACCCCGAAGGGGTCTCATACAAGCCCTTAGCATATCATAACATAGGATAAAAGAAATGATGCGGAAATTTTAAAACTTTGTCCATACAATCGAAGTCTTTTATTAAAGCAAGAGGAAGTCTAAACTTGTCTCAATTAGCCATCTAATACAATCTTTGAATCAAAAATAGGGTCACAACCCTTTCAACAATCCAAAATGAAATAACTAGAAAGAAACTACTAATGACTCATACGTCCTCGAATCTTGAGGACTCACCACAAGCTAGGAGAATAGTCGATCCAAGCTTGAACCAAAAGAAGATCACCTTAAGAACCGGAACCTACACTTTGTGAAAAATGTAGAAAATATGGGTTAGTACAAATATGCACTAAGTATGATAGCCATGCATAAAAACCTTGAAAACATGCTAAAAAGGACATTTTAGTTGAAAAAGCATGCATTTACCAAGTTTGAGAATCATCATGCACTTTAGTATAAAAGCATAAGTCACAAGCATATTCAACATATAGACCATCATAGCATAATAGCACCATCTCATAAGTAACCCTAAGTTATACTTGTGCAATGCATAGATAAAGATCCCATAATCACATCTATACTAAGTACCACTTTTAATTAGGCCACCATAATCATACTTACCATTCTTTGATGTCATCCTTAGTTCATACTCATAGACAAGGAAACCTTCATATTTACTAAGTCATATCAAGGAAAGCAACTCATAGCAAAATTCCACATTAAGCATACTTCATTACCATTAGCCTTCATATCAACATACTTAGTAGCATCATCATAAGCATATTCATTTCATAAAACATTATTACATAAAGGAACACACTATGACAACTCTCAAAGCATACTTGTGCAATGCATGGATGAAGTCTCATACCCCCACCCACACTAAGTAGTGCATTCTTGAGAAGCCATAGTTCATTTTTATTCATTGTGGGGGGTAAGCTTTAACCGACATAGACCATGTGTGCAAATCATGGAATCCGGTGTTACCCACACCGAAAAGGGTGGTCTACTTGCCTAAGGTAGGACCGGTAACATTTAGCTTAGGTGGATCCACTAGCTAATAACCTATGAGGGCACATAGTTTATGGGATAAGGAGATTGCTACTAGATGCCCCACCTCAACTCACGTATGGGCATCCATCTCAAGAGATTGCTACTAGAAACCCCGTCTCAACTCACGTATGAGTTTCTATCTCAATCAATATCCACTCGGTGCTTGGCATTATTCCCCACGAAGTAATTATCATTACATTACTTGAGTTCATTATTATGGGAGAAATGAAATATGGAGATTGCTACTAGATACCCCGCCTCAACTCATGTATGAGTATCCATCTCAAAAGATTGTTACTAGAAACCCCGCCTCAACTCACGTATAAGTTTTCATCTCTATCAATATCCATCTCAACCCAACAGCATTCATTAGATAGCTCATAGATTCAATAGGTGAGAAGAGCCTTTCAACCTAAGAATCCCCATATTGTGAGAAAATCGTTCACAACATGTCATCATCATTCATAAGAATATAATTGAGAATAGCCTTTCAACAACATCACAATTACATCATAGTCATAATCACATTACTTTCTAAAGTATTCATAAAACAATGTACATAAATAATCATGATCATACATAATTCTTCATAATTTGTCCCTTCAAGGACCATGGATCATAATTTCACCAACACATCAAGAATTACTACATTAGACATGAATGATAACATGATTCAAGTAATCAATTCATAACATTCACAATTCTATAGTATTCTACTTGCATAATTCAATACCCACACTTTACGATCCAATTTGAGAAAATAGGGTAATTCATGGATTCTTGAGGAATTCAACTTAAAATCATATAAATCATCAATATATTCATAAAAAAATATAATTCAATCATTTAAAACGAATTTGAAAGGAATCCATGAGATTGAAGTCAAACCCTAACTTTTGAATTTTCTAGTTTTGAAATTGGGGGTTTTGGAAGGGCTCTATGAGTGAAGGCTACCCATAGATGAAGAGTTATCATACCTTATTGAATATTTACCACGAATTTGAGGAGAAAAAAACTGATTCTTCAAGCCCTAGCTTCAACTTTCTTCTTCTTCTTCCTTGAGTTCTAGAGAGAGAATTTTTGGAGAAGATGAACTCTTCTGGGTTTTGGGAATTAAAGGATTAAATGGGTTGGTTAATGACTTAAAAGGGCTTATTTAGGTGTATAAAAAGAATACAAAATGACCTCATTTAATAACTACCTAATTAGGAATTACCTAAAATAACCCCCACTTTAAAGTGGGGTGCCAGGCCTCACGACCATCTTCATGACCCGTCAAGGGCACCACGGCTCGTGGTGGTGCCCGTGGTCCCTTGACCAGTAGCCTCCCCAACTTGACAAGCCTCCCATGAGGTGAAGGCAACCCCACGAGCCTTCCCACGGTCCATGGTCTTCACCACGAGTTGTGAAGTGGCTCGTGAAGGGGAGCCTTTCTTGGGAAGCTTCATGAGCTTACTGCCTCACCTACCACGGGTGGCACCACGACTCGTGGTGGCCACCACGGGTGGCACCACGACTCGTGGTGGCCACCACGGGTGGCACCACGACTCGTGGTGGCCACCACGGGTGGCACCACGACTCGTGGTGGCCACCACGGGTGGCACCACGACTCGTGGTGGCCACCACGGGTGGCACCACGACTCGTGGTGGCCACCACGGGTGGCACCACGACTCGTGGTGGCCACCACGGGTGGCACCACGACTCGTGGTGGCCACCACGGGTGGCACCACGACTAGTGTTACACGAACACAACAACATACAATTGTATGGAAAGCTACTTAAATTATACTGTAAAGTTTGAATCAACTTAAGGGTAAATTGATATTTTTTCGTCTCCACAGACACCTGTATTTCACTTATGTTAAACAAGTGTACTGTTTTCTTTTTCAAAAAAAATATGAGTACTGTATTTACACCATATCCTAAACTCTATTCTCTCATATTTATCACAAAACAATTCTAAAGAGCATCCAAAATAATTTTTTGGTGGTCAGATGACATTAAAAAATCTCTCTGTTTTATTCTTCTACAATTGTATTCTGTGGGCTCTTTGATGCTTGATTTATACGGTTGTAACAACAATTTGGTGGGTATAAGTATAACTTCTTGCAAGATTATTTATATGAACTTTCGTATTTCTAATTACTAGTTCTGGAACACGTGCGTTGCACGTGTATACCGTGCTAATTAGTACAAATAATTTTTAAAATATAAGTGTGTGATGTGTAAAATACATGCTCGAATCAAAGAGTGGTGAGCATATTCAACTGATATCATTATCATTGGAAAACACATCATACTAAAAAATTGTTATCAAATGAATTTCAAAAGTAATACTCTAACGACTTCAAATATGCAATTCTTATAATATATCAAGTATTCAACTTGATAACAGTTCTTTTTTCCATATGTCACCATATAATTTAAATGTCTGCACTATGGTTGCAAAGTATTTAATGCCTTAAAGTTTCTACCTTCTTTTTAAGGAACAGTAGCCTCCATTTTTTAACAGACACATACATATCAAGAAGTTGTTATCAAAGGAGAGTAGTGTTTTGTAATAGTGTTAGAGAAATTCGATCAACATATGCCTTCCTTAGGATGGTTAGTAAATCATTATCAATTTCATAGTGTACACCTACAAAAAAATATAGTATTTATTTGTTATAAACATAATCGTGTAAGTATATAAATGACATATATAAATATAATTACATGTATATGTACCTTTTGTCTTCTTAGTCTCATTCAAAAAATTTAATTTTTTCATCTATAAATTTTAACAAAAAAAAATATTTGTTAAGTTGTATACATATAATTGAATTATGAAATACAACACAATCATTTGTGAAATATTAACCGTAGATATTGTCATACTTCATAAAAAAAAATACAACACTATATTACATCAGGAAAAATAATAAAAATGAGAATTTACTGGAAGGAAAAGAAAACAATATTAAGAATTCATTTTGGGACATGTTGAACCCCTCATCCGATGGTTGAGTTGGTCCATCACCTCTTGAAAGTGGGACGATATAGCCATGAATTTTATCTCTGGATTGTCGACTGCGAGGCAACTTGACGCCATTAGCCAATTATGCATAAAAGGAGACAGTTAATTAATTGATACCACTGCTAATTTCTTTTCAGTTCGATATGTGTTACATTTCGTCTTTTTCAATGTGCTCAAGTTTTCATGTCTTAGGTGTTTTTGAGCTACAACCTCTAATAATTTACATTTGCAGGATACTCCTCATAGAGCGATAAATAATTTACAGGAACTCACATGATGTGAATTTTGAGATTTCAAATGAGGATAAATAATAGAAAAGCATCAACTTTAGCAGATGTATTTAGATCCCCAACATTGAAAGTGTATAATTTTAACTAAGAGACGATGAATATAATTTTTTAGATGTTGCAATAGTAGCCATGATGTAATATTTTGAAGAGCAAGTATGTACACTTGAGATCTTTACAACATATTTAACTAAACTAAATAGCATATTGGGTCTGCACGGGCTTTGCTCATCTGGTATATATATATATATAATATATATATATATATATTCTCATATTTATAAGCTAACAAGATGAGTACAAACACTGCATAAAATTGTTAGACCAAAAGCAGCATAAGTTGTACCGATAAAGGGTCACTTTACCAAATTGACCCATTACTTTTTCAAATGACGTGTGTAGTGCATCTTCAAACACATGTGTTTCCTCTTCCCACTAAAATATCCAGTTCAATCTTTCCATCCTTATTCTCTATTCAAGCTTTTAGAAAAGGTGATTTGTAAAATGGAAGATCTCATATGCCATTTTTCATTGAAACTTAAGTCACTCTAGCCTAGGTATGCATTGCCTCTTGCAATTTCACTTCATTTTTTAGTAGTTTTTATCCCCTGTTTATTTCTTTCTTCCATCGTGTTACTGATTTTATCGGTTTCATTTGCTTATGTCTGGTGAGTCCTTTCTCCCATCTCTTCTTTGTTTGTTTCACCGATGTGTTGCTAATAAAAATTTGGTGACTTATCGTTATTTTTAGATTTTGTACATGCTTGTTGACTGCATAATCTATATTCCGATATAGATGAAATAATTGCATGTTTCGGTCTTTGTATGCTAAATGTTGTGATCTGGAACCTATTGCTCAAACATAAATATTTATAGGTATCAAAACATCATCGAACTACAACGTAAAATCAACCATATACACTTCTTTGGACTTATAAACCCAAGTCGAAGACAACACTCATAATGAGAATGCAGTGAGAAAACAAAATAGAGGCGGAATGACCTAGGAGATCCTTGTACTTGACTCCATTTGTAAGTTGGACCCTTCTACTTATCAATTTGTCAACTGAACCCCTAAACTCATCAGAACACGATATTTTAAATCCCTTTGATCATTGACCAAACATATGTGACATTGATAATGTTGAGTTGGAAAAATACGTGATTACACGCGTTTGACAGCGAGTAAATAAAGTATTTTACATTTAAAATATTTAAATAATAATAATAATAAGGCGAAATGGTCTGGTGAACCCTTGTACTTGTATCAGTTTGTATTTTGAACCCTTCTACTTACTTATTTGTCACCTGAACCCTTAAACTCAATTAAAATGAAACTTTTAAGCCCCTCCAATCATGTGTGTAGCTCACTCTCCTTTATATAATTGACATGTCATATCCACATCAGATATATTAATGCCATGTCATAATTATTTCATAGCTATTTTTTAAAATTATTAACCAAATTATTATTAACATTTTAATTTATTTTTGGCATTTTAAAAGTGAACTTCCATACATCTAATTCTCTCTATTTTCACTGTTTCATGACCAAAATCGCCGGAGAAAGGCATCGCCGCCGTCGTCACCATTTTTGCCGGCGAAATCACATATACTTTCTCCCTCACCCGTCTTCATCTCTGCCGCACACCATCGTTGTTTTTCTTTCCTCCTCCAACCTCCACAAAAACAACAACCTAAACATCCTCTTCCAATCGCTTTTGTTCTAATTCTAGCTTGTATATCTGCTGCCGTAGGCGAACAGAGGAAGACCTATCAGCCTTCGTTATTGTGAATCTTCGTTGAATGACCTCAGACTTGTGTTGTAGCTCATTCCTTGCTTCAATCAAGCAATTAACAAATTGACCTATCAGAACTAGAAGACTTGGTAAAAGGGTATAAACACACCAATTCCTCTTTCTCCTTCACAACCCCATAATCCCTCTTCCCTTCCTCTTCACTATTTGAATTGGGTCTCTTCTTCTTAGCCCATTTCTTTTTCTTCGTCCTCTCTTTATCCTTATCCTCTTCAACCCTTTCAGCATCATGACCCGATTCAATCTTATTCGGGGCATCATCACCCAATTCATTACCAAACAATTTCACCCATTTAGGTGAATTGGAGGTAAGATCTCGAGAAAAATAGAATGGGTGAAATGGGTCGGGTCAGATTGATGTGTAATCTCCGGTTGTTCATCATTCTAAGATTCCTGTTGTATAGATAAGTCTTGTCCGACTTTAATTAGGTGTTGATGGGTGTCATTTATCTTCTTCTTAGTAATCTTAGAGTAAAGAGAAAAAAATGAGAATGGTGAGAGAACAAAATGAGAAAGTGAAGAAGAAAAGCAATAAAGGGGACAATAGTGATTACTTCTGGTGTTGGTGGTGATGAATGTGACAGTAGGGTGGAGAAAATGGTTCAGAAGTGGAGAAAAAGAATAGAAAATTTGGAGTCGCCGCCATGGGAATGCGTCATTTACAGAAGAGAAAACAGAGACACACAGTAGTTAGCACCTGGAGTTTTTGGATATGTAGAGACTAACCGCAGTTTCTTCTTTTTTTTTAACCTAAAAATGTTATTCACTCGCCTTAAGGTGCGTGAAGTTACACACTTTCGCCAACTCAGCCATCTTAAAGACACATAAGCTTGGTCAATGGTCAGAGGTATTTGTTAAATTGTGTTTTATTGAGTTTAAGGGTCCAGATGACAAAAGGGTAAGTAGAAAGATTGGATTTAGAATACAAATTGATACAAGTATAAGGGTTCACCAGACCATTTCGCCTAATAATAATAATCAATTTTAAAAAACAATAATTCAAAACCCATCTTCCTCAACCATTCCCTCTCCACCCCACCCCCACCCCTCTCTCCTTCATCCCCAGCCCTCCCTCTCTCTTCTTCTTCTTAGAATATCATCCACCACACCCACTGTCCTCCTCTTCATTCTCTCCTTCATCCACTTCCTTCTCAATCCACACTTCTTTTTCACTACAAATCAGCCACCCACCCTAACCACTTAGATCTACCCCTCTCTTAACCCTTTTAAATTTTAATTTTTTAGTCGAAAAGTATTGAGATTATCATTTGTTTTATTAGGCTTCAAAAAAGAGGTCTAAGTATGGATTATCACGAAGGATAATGGTGGATATTGAAAAATTAAAACTCCATTGATAAGTTAGAGAAAACTTGAAAAATAATAAATGAGTCTTGTGAATTTGTGAAATTAGATTGGGATTAGTTGGATTTGTGGTGTTAAACTTGTATTTGAATTTTCAAGTCAAATGGCGAATTTTTTTATCTATTTGACATGAATTTAGTTTTCAATTTGGAATAAATATGAAGAACATACTTATTTGAATTTATTTATTTTTAAAAAGAAATGCTTATCTAAAATTTCCAGAAATTACAAAAGTGGCTTAATTGAATTTTTTAATTTTTAACATGTAATTTCTTACATGTCATTAAAAAATAACATGAAATTTCACGTGTAAGCAATTGTACTTCACACACACTAGTCAAATGAAAAAAAGGTTTAAAATATTGCGTTCTGATGAGTATAAGGGTTCAGTTGATAAGTAGAAGGGTCTAACTTACAAACGGAACCAAATACAGGAGCTCCCAAATCATTCCGCCAAAAATAAAATGTAACTTAGAGAAGTTCAATTGTTCCTCGTTTTTGGTTACTATCGCTCTCTCTCATTCTATCCCCAATTATCAAAATCTTCAGTGTCTGGCGATTCTAAGTGTTGCAGGCTCCGCTGCAAATGTTAAGGATGATTCTCATATGCCTATTTGGGGCCAACTCCTATGCCACCTAAACTTTTATGACATGATTCTGGACAAGTTAATAACTTACATTAGCTATATATGTGTATGAATTCATGGACAACATTGAGAAAACAGTTAATGTAATTGTTTGATAATGTAGCAATCTGTTCAATCACTACAAAAAATTACTTACAAGTTACACCCTAGAGGTTTTATAATAGAGGTCAACTCAACCCCACAAATTACATCAAATTACGGAGGTTTGATTAACCCCTATAATATTAGTAGAATTTGTGGGGTTATTACCCTCCGTAATCCTAAAAAATAAAATTCTACGATATCGTTGCTCATTTAATCCCCAAATAAAAGAAAGTTCGATTCTATTTTCTCTATCAGTTTTCATATGATAATTAGGGTTGGAGTAGGAAGAGATGGAGGCGGCACGGTAGCGAATCCATGGTGGCGGAGCTATCACTGTCTTCATCCACAATAGCAGTGGTCGGAGTAGGAAAAGACGGAGGCGGCGGTGGCGATTGGCGGTATCATTGGTTCATACTTCTCTTCTCCTCTCTTACTTCCCAATTTCTCTCTATTTAACAATTGCGCCCTAATTTAGATATCGAAAGCTTCAAAAATGAGTTCTCCTTTCCTCATTTTCATGCATTTTCAATACATAAATCAACTGAGTTTTTTTTTCTCAACTTCAAATTGTTTGTAAAAAGTTTTGAGATTTATATTTTGAATCTATTTTTTTTTTCCAGAAAATCTGCAATAGAAATTCATCTTCGCTGATTTCGGAGTAAAAGAATGCTCCAATAGGCTCGCTGCCCTACGTCCTGCACCATGGAGAAGCTTCAGCTCTTTCTAAGGTTTTTAACTATTGTGCTTTTCGGATTTCCCCTAAACTTAGAGTTTTTAGGGTTTCAATATGGATAATCTAATTAAATAAGGTTTACATGGAGGATAACTTGCTAGTAATTGATTTTTTTGGTTGGATAGATTAACTTCTTAATTGATTTGTTAGTTGTAAGTGAATCTGGTAAATTTGAGAGATATGATATTTGTTTCTATCTTATAAGGTGGTGATGTTGGAGAAATATGGTGTTTTCAATTTGTTTGATGATGAAATGTTCTTTCTTGTCGCGTCATCAGCCCATGTAGGATTAGAAGTAGCACCATAAGGTTGTTTCACTTTATCGATTGACTAACCATATCGAGTATATTGAGTATACATGTTACGACGATAAGATATGATCTCCGCTTGTACTTTCCTTGCAGTGTCTGTAGCACAACCAACAAGAATAAGCACATTTCAGGGTACTTATTTTCTAATTCACTAGTTGGGCTTTTACATTTCAAGTTATAGCTTTTATATAGTTGTTGGTGTTGTTTAATGAATATTTTTACAGTGTCTTGAGAACTTACTGCACCTATAGTTATGTTATATAGGCATGGCAAGGTGGTTAGCATTGATACGTAAAATCTTTTTCTCTGGAACTTTGATACTTCAAAGAATTAAGGATTAGAGGTACATTTCAGGGTACAACTAATGTGAGATCTAGCCATAGATATTACTAATTAATTTCTTTCCCCAATGAATTAATCTTTAGACTTTATCTAACTAGGAACCCATTTGTTGTTATTTTCTTTTTGTAAGGAAAAATGAAGCATTTCATTAAAAACTAAAAGTAGTACAGGGGAGTAGTGGCCTGTGGCCATCGCAGACCCAGTTGGTCTGAGTTACACAAAACGGTAGCTACTGATGTATTTCTTGAGCAGGCTCTTATTCCTGTAAGTTGTATTATTTTGCTGAAGATAAACAATAGTAATTGTTTTCCTTTGGCTCCCTGACAAGTGTAAGTGGGGATAAGCCATTACTTGTGCGTATATACTACCTTCCCCAAATCCGCTTGTAAATTCCACTGTATATGTTGTTATTGTTGTAATATATGCTTGTCAACTAACATGTCTTGTTCCACCATCTAACTTAACTGGCTGGTAGTACTAAATTCATCAAGTATGCTATATTCATCCATGTTTTGAGTTTGGATGAAGTTGCTTATTGTGTATTTTTCTTTGCAGCCAGGAGATGCTTAGTGACAGTAATCCTAGCGAAACCCGCTGAAGTTTCATGAACTGTTGCAGATCCTATCTTGAGTTTGGATGCTAGCGATTTGAAGTTTAAGCAAGTTTTTTTAGTGATTTGAAGTTCAAGCATATGATTTGAAGTTTCTTGTAATTGTAATGGTTGAAGTGAATGACATTTCGATTTAGTTTGTAAAACTATAGTACACTTTATGATATATTTTTGTATTGAAATATTGTGTTATTTCTTATACTAATATGCCCTTTTAGGTTTGACTATGCTGTACATGTTAGTTAATTAATTATTAATATTTAAAATTGAATATTTCTAGCAAAATTTTATAAAAAGATACATTTCATAAATTGCAGGAGTTAAAACTCTTGTTAATTTTAATGTAAAGTTCATGAATTGTGGGGGTTTTGACTCTCAGAATTTACAAATTATTGGGATTTTGAATCCTAGAATTTGAAGTGTAGTTCAAAACCCCCACTAGTAAACCCCTGCTAATGGTACCCAAATCCTGTGACTTAATTGTGGCACATCTAATTGTAGGAGTTTTTCCAATTGTCGTAACACGTAGTTGCAGGGGTTACTGACCCCCGCAATATGTAATTTTAACCCCTGCATTTTAAGTGTTTTTTGTAGTGAATTACTTTTCAGCAACATGGATTTTTAGTGCTTATGATCTTAAATGACACATTTAGCTGAGAGTCTATTGGAACTCTCTACCTCTGAGGCTGGGGTAAGGTCTGCGTACAGTTTACCCTCCCCAAATTCTATTTTGTTGAACTACATTAAGTATGTTATTGTTTAGATCTTATTTTGCCAGTAGATATATAAAAAAAAATGTATCTATTGCCTACACAATCAGTTTTCTTAAATATATATAAATAAAGTTTAAGGAGAATAACTTTATTGGGTACTTGACAAAGAAACTATAGTAGAACGTGTCGAACCAGGTGATCAGGAAGACGGACCATTATCACTACCGATCAAGCTTAATGTCACAACGTTTGTACAAATTCATAGATCAAGTTTGGAAATTTCTTTTCATTATATATTTGAAAATATCCTCTGCTTCTACAAGTTACATTTCAAAATTTTAAACCTAGAGCATACTAAGTAGGCGTTTGGCTATGCGATACTATATCACGATATGGTATCGTGAGATGGATTAGCTTTGGACATGCGATTTTACGCTGATTCCATCTCATGATTCCATATCATGAGATGTGATTCCATATTCTCCAAAAACCATGATATGGAATTATATGGTAATTCCATATCATGATTTGAGATATTTTAATATAAAAATTGATCCACGAGTTTATATTTTGTTAAAACAACCTGACATTTATATCTACTAACCATTTATTTCATATGTGAACAAAATTTATAATCACATCATTACTTTATA